GTGTTTTGACCCGTCAGTGGTTCTTTAAAGGTTTTTACACAATGGAACAACTTTTGAAAATTTCCACAAGTTTGGAAAAACACGTTCATTGACAGCCGGACAGATTCTTCTGTCCAGAGGACGTGATTTAACTTTTTGTTAGACATTCATTAAAACATAAATTAAAAATGACATAAAGGCTATAGACATGAAATTAGCCGAGATCTTAAGAAGCCTTCCATCCATATTGTCTCCTCCACAAGGTTCATCACTATTATGACAAGAAGCTTTTCCATTTCATCCTCTATTATACGCTTAAATAGTCCTCCATAGTACAATTGTCAGATTTAATTTGATAATACTGATTTTTCTTTTGCCTATTTAATTACAGTATGTTACTTTATTCCTGAATGAGCGGTAGGCTCGCCAATCTGCAGCCGTGCCAGACATTACTGCAACGCTCTCTCTTTCATACAGCATCTTAAGTCTTCCTCCAACCAAGGAGACCTTACAGATCTCACAGATAATCTTCTTATTGGGGCTTATTTATCGCACACAGCTGGAAATAATTTATAAAAAGTACTTAACGCTAGCTCTCTCTGTGTGATCTGTAACACATCAACTGTATACAGTACATTTGCCACGTCATTTATGAAATCATATTCTGAAAAAGATTTCTAAATTATTTTATACACTGCCGGGCCAAAAAAAATGTCACCACCTGGATTTAACTAAACAAACAGGTACGAGCCTCCTGGATAATCACTGCATGGATGATCATCTTTCAGCTGCAACAAGTTATTTAACCTCAACTGGTGCAATGAGTTGCTTCTCATTTCTTAAACAACCATAAAGACTCATGGCGTGGTCGTGGAAAAGATGTCAGTCTGTTTGAGAAGGGTCAAATCATCGGCATCAAGCAGAGGAAACATCTAAGGAGTTTTTAGAAACTACTGAAATTGGGTTAAGAACTGTCCAAGGCATTATTAAAAACTGGAAGGACAGTGGAGACTCATCGTCTTCCAGGAAGAAATGTGGCCGGAAAAAAATCCTGAATGATCGTGATCGGCGATCACTTAAACGTTTGACGAAATCAAATGGAAGAAAAACAACAGTAGCACTCAGGG